TGTATTATACATCATGTAGCTGCTGTTGCTAATCATAGGACGATTAATTTAGGATACATTTTCTTTAATATTCTTTTGATTAGTCCTTCAGAAATACATCAAGAAGTTCATATATTATAACGAGATGTTATTGATAGTATATCAACAACGTCTGTTACGGTCTGTAATTGTCCTTGGCTAGTGTCTGTTACGGTCTATTATAGTTTCTGATGAGCATCTGTCACGGTCTGTAATAGTCCTTGGTTTGCATCTGTCATAGTCTGTAATGGATCTCTAGAGTGTCTATCATGATCTGTATGAGCGTAAGGACCACTATATATTTCAACAGTCTTCTCAAAAAGAGACTTGAATCGCTTTCTAGATGGTTTTAGTCTCGTCTAGAACTTTTTTTTTTTCTAACTACATCATTGTAATAGTCTGCTGAAATCTAAAGAGCGCAAATTTTGTTTTCTAGGTCGTCATTCAAAATCAAAATCTACATCAAATGATTTATTAACATCCAGTTCTTTATCATCATCATCATCTTCTTCACAATCAATTTCGCCATTAAGAAAAAAATCTCATTCATCACATCGTCGTCTTTCAAAATCTCAAAATCGTTCATCATCATCATCATCACATATAGCTGAAAAACTTCAATCTTCTCAAAATTGTCAACATTCAATATTAACATCTACTGATCCAACAAATTATTTATCACCTAAATCATCATCATCATCATCATCAATTTATCTTATTCAACTAACAAATACAAATAATCAAATTAATTCATTTGGTTTAACAAAAACAATTCCATATGTTTGGAAAAATACAAATATAAATATTAATGATGAAGAAAATAATATTTATCCAAAATATTCTATTGAACAAATTCCACCAATAATTCATAATAAAAAACGTTCTATACCAATATTATCACGTAATATTATATTACAACGTGGTCAAATTGATTATTGGCAAAATTTTGATATATCACCAGATTCTATTTTAACATCATCATGTCAAAATTTAACAGGATCAGCATCTCATTTACTTTTTTCATCATCATCATCATCAATACAACAAACAAAAAATTCTAATCATTCACAAGGAAATATTATATCAATAACAACAACAAAACGTTATCAACCATCATTATTAAATAAAACAAAATATATAAAATGGAATATTGAAGGAAATGGTAAACAATTACAATATTCAAAAACTAAATGGCATAGTGATCATCAATTACATAAACATAATCGTTTAAAAAAAAACACATATCCAAAAAAATCTTTATCAGATAATCATACAGATACTGGATCATCTAGTGAACAAAATAATCGATCAACACCATTAATTTTTCATTCTGATAATAATAATTCAAATCATTTAAACAAAACTCATGAAGGTATCATATTTAATGTGATCTTTGAACATAGTGAAAGAAAAATATCAATAACTTTTTGAATTCAAACTTCTGAAATTTCAGTCGCGGATATAATAAATTGAATGATAATATTTCGATCTAAGATTTTGTCTATAGAAAAGTTTTTGAGTCAGTAGAATATTCTGAAAATGTTGCCTTTTCAAGATATTAAAATTCTAATAATCATTCATATTCTATAAGATATAGTAGTAAATTGATTTTTATCATCTTTTAAAACATAACTTTTATTAGCAAAAAAAAATAAATGATCTAGATCAATTCGACAAGTTTTATACGATCATAAGAAAAAAAAAGTTTTTAAAACTGATTTTAGAATATTTTTCTATTAATATATTATAAATACTTAATCGTATGAATATTAGATACTTTGTGAATGTTCAACTAGAAGATCTTTGTAAATACATTAATATTAGATATAATATATATATATATATATATATATATCAACGTCCTGAATTGAGTACTCTTAGAAAGTGTTATTTACAACCATCATAAAAACATTTGAGTATTATAAGTATATAACAAAAAGAAAATAAAAGAAAGAAAAGAATCTCTCATGCATTGAAGTTGATACAAATTCTAAAACTGTTAAATATTTCCTTCCTATATCATAGAATACAAATGATTTTCTTAGATTATTGTCATTAAGGTCAAAATATTTTTCATCCTTCCCATTTATATGAAGTATATAATATATCATTTATGCGGAAGTATTTGTCGTTTCTCTTTTTTTTGTTTCCCTAATCTAGATGTTATATGAAATCGACAGTATATATATATATCTAGGGAGTAGATCTTTCAGATAGCGAGTGTATTCTTTTTAGTTTTTTTGACAACTATAGATCTTGAAGATGAAAATGATGTAAGAATAAATAACGATTTTCATATATATTCATTGACCTTATATAATAGACGTGATATCGATAAAATCATTTCTTAGTGACGTGATTTTACAAAATTAAAATATATATATATATTTATCGAGATGATAAATTTGTCTATTAAACAATTTTTATATATGACATGTAAGTTAGAATAAAATTAGTGCTGGAGATTTTTGTTCAGTGAAGTCATTAGTGGAAAAAGAACATCAACTTTTATTTCATACAATTGCGTTTTAAAAAAGTTCGAATTGAAGAAATACTTTTGAAAACTAAATAGTAAATTCTATAGATAACTTCTAAGGCTAAAAAGTCTCTAAAAAAACAACAGTTTTTATAAGAAACTATTTTTTAAGTTCGGTTTTGTCATAAATTTCATCATAAATGTTATTCATGCCTTCAATTGTATCCTGAAGTTTTCTAGCTTTTTTTCTTCATATGATTAGGGAGATATTCACTTATGAATCAGTTATTGACCATAAACAGTGGTCATCTACTAGCTTATTTTTTTTCTAAGGACGATCGCTTTTAATCATTTTTCTAGTGCAAGAATTGTTCGTTTATCTCGGTCTGTAGAGTATGGATGAAAATAAGATTTCATCAGTCATATCCATACTAATTTTTTGATGATCAAAAAATGTTTATTCCGAGAATGTGAAATAAGCGAACCGTTTCTCTAATAATATTCATTATTCCAATCTCTTCAAAAAAGTTTACATATAATTTATTCTTTTGAAATTTTCTAATCTTTATGTTTATTTCTATTATCATAATTAAAAGAAGAACAATAGTCTTTAATTTTTCTTTATTTATTTAGTATTAGAAAAATCTTCGATGAATACTAATACAAAACAAATAGATTCAATTGTACCTGATAATAGTTTATCTAATTGTGATAAAAACAATATATCATTATCTAAAAAATCTAATGAAAAAACTAATTATTCATTATCAAAATCTCTTCATAAATCTAAATCTAAATCAAAACCAATATCATATGCAAGTACAGATGAAGATGTTGATGAAATAAATTCACATTATTTTGAAGATATTGATCGACCAACAACAACAACGATTGAAGATTATCGTGAAAAATTAAATACACGTTTATTATCTTTAAATAATGAACAAAATGAAAATCATATTAATTTAATAAATTGTTCAAAAATATTATCAACTGAATATTCACAAATAACAATTGATTCAGGTGTTGATATTGAAAGTGAACAAAAAATTTATCAACCAAATATAACATTAACTATTGATGAACAATCATCAGAATTAATAACAGATCATAATGATTTATTTTTATTAACTGATAATTCATTTATTGAAAAACAATCAATAAAAATAATTGAACAAGAAAGTATTTGTTCAATGAAAAATAATTTATATAAAACTTATGAACTTGAAACAATTAGTGATGATGATGATGAAGATAATAATTTAATTAAAAATAATTCAAATGAATTAATTATAACAACAGAAAATTCAACATTAATAAATCATTCAACAATAATTCCTTCACAATTTGAATTTAAATTACCAACATTTGGTGAATGGATTGATCGTGCATTTACAGTATTTCTTTCAGATACAAATCAATATCAAAATGATTCAATATTATCAAGTCGTTCATCATCAATTGTATCAATACCGACTTCACAAAGTACAATTAATACATCATCATCATCACAAATAATAACTGTTCTTGATAATTTTAATTTATCAAATATATCAAAAGATAATAATAGTGATTTTCATCAAACACAAACATTTATACATCAAGAAGAACAAGATGATGAACATAGTCTTAATGGTAAAGATTAATTTTTGTTTTTTTTTTTTTGGAATTTACCATAAATCATATGAGAAAGAAATAGTTGAGATTAAGAAAAATTTCATTTTTTACATTCATGTTAAAATGTTTGATATGATATTTTTTTTTTTTTGATTAAGTTATAATTTCATGAATTTCGATAAATTTAGTTTTGATTTGTTCATCAAATTAAATCAAACTTTGAAAACTTAGTTATTATTTACTTCTAATATTCATTTAATTCTCGTATGAAATTTACTCTTAATCTTTTGTACTTTTCTATGTGTTAAGTATCGATTTTGAACTTAAGAAAATTATTATTAAGTGTTGTTATTTAAATAACTTTAGTCAATCAAGTGATCTACTTCATCGATTCAAGAAATTTTCTTTTAATGCAACATATATATGAAAAATTGGATTTTTCATTCATCCTCACAGTTACGCACGACGTAATCTGAATATTGTAAAGAACAGAAAGAAAAACGAAAAATCGTACTATACTAACAGGCTTGCTACGTAAATTTTTATATTACAAACAAAATATCTTTCGTTTACTTAAATTCCTTCGTCAAGAATGAGTCCTTCGATGACATTAGAATCAATTATTCTTCTTCGTTTAAGCTCTTTGTTTGTTTTTTTCTTTTCAATGAAGATGAAGAAAAAAGAGAAGCAAAAAAAAAAATAAAAAGCTATAAACATATATCCATTCGAGGCCACAGCTGCATGAATCAAGGTTAGAAAAGAGAAGAACGAACAATCGGCTTTGATGGCAATGATAGTTCAATCAATAAACAATAGAAACATTCAATCCTCCGTTTCTCATTCTTTCTCTCTTTTTTTCTTTTTCTTTTTTTTTCTTCTATAACTAGACATGTCAAGTTCAAGTTTTAATTGTGAAAAGGTCGATTTTGACACATATATTATCAATAGTAATTATGAAAAGATCAATCCTTCAATAATATATGAACAAAATGAAATTCCTTTCATAAATGAACGATCAAAATCATTATTATCATCAATAACATCATCGATTGAAAATGATGGTCAAGGTAAGTTTTTATTATTATTACTAACATAGAGGAGAATAAATGATGTATATATACATATGTGTCATTGCTCTTGAATAGTACACACAAGGTGAGAGAAAAAAAAATTATATCGAATATATTACCTCGTCATTCGTTTTTTTTTCTTCTTCTTCTTCTTCTTCTTGTATCTTTGATTACTGTTCAATCATGAAGGAGGTCACATATTTCTACAAAGTAAGTCATCAATCCAAATACTTCATAGTAGCTACGAAAAAAAAGAAAATCGGATTGTTGTTTTCAATCAAAAATCAAACATAAAATTCTCTTTTAACTTTGCCTCTTATATTGTTTGATAAAGATATGAAGTACTTAGACAATAGTCTATTAAATGAAGACGTTCGAACATTGAAAGAATACTTTTAAATGTGTATGTGTGTAAATATAGAATTGTTCAAAGTAGTAGATGTGCTACTTTCTTTTTTTTTTTCGTTTTTTAGAGGTAATTAACAATAGAAGAAGAATGTTAAACGATGATGTTGATAATAATGATGATGATGAAAATATACCTAAAAACCTATCGTCAACAAATACAAATGATTTATCATCATATACAATCTATGATAAATTTCAATATTCTTCAAATAGTCATGATTCATTAAATCAATCAGATCATAATATTGATACAACAGCATCATCAACGGATGATTTAACACAGACTAATCAATTTTTAACATCAACATTTCATTCAAAAGATTCAGCACTTGGTTTATCTGATGATAATTTAAATTATTTACAAACAAATCAATTAATTATATTGGATGATAATGATAATAATAATAATAACCAACAATATATTTCATCATTATATCAAGACAAATGTAAATAAAAAATTCTTTTATTTTATTTTTTTTTCTCTTTTCTCACTTGTATAGAATTTTAACACATCGATCAAAGGTTAAAAAAACTGTTATGCAGGTTTGATGTGAAATATATTGAGAGATCATCAAAATGCTCTTAGTCACGAGCGCGCTTTTTGAGTTCAATTATACTTGAATTTCTTTCGTTCTATATATTCACTATATCATTAGACATATGTACAATGTCCATCCGTTCATTTTACTCCCATTCAATCTATACTGATTGGGTTATTAACTAATCCTTCGATGTATTCTCGCCCTTCCAAAAGGCTCATCTCTCTCTCTCTCTTTTACTTTTTTCCCTTTATACATACAATGAACATCTAATGAAGTACAGATATACATACATATATGTACATGTTAAAGGAAGGTGAACATGTCGAAAATGAACTTTATAGGTATATAAGCATATTAAAAATTAGATGCAAAACACGCGTATGACACACGTAGACATAAGAGAATACAACAAAAGATATTTGTACGTGCTAACGCACATTGATATGATGGATTTTATTTGGTTAGAAGAAAAGCCGAAAGATGATTTTTTTTTTTTTCTTTATCGTTCGTTTTATTTTTTTTTATTATTATTTTAAGTATTTCTTTTACTGTTCTATTGTCTATATCATTTGCATGTCGTTTTCTTTTCTTTTTTTAATTTATTTTTATTTTTTAGTTGTCGATAATATTGAAAAAACATTTAATGCAAATACAAATGTTAATATTGAAACTATGCAAAAATCTGATACAATGATTTCAATTACTAATGAAATTCTATTAAATGAACATGAAAAAAATATTGAACGAACAATATCAACAAGTTCATCAGAACAATTAATACCAAAAGAAAAACAAACTGGTAAAAAAAAGAAAATAATTTAATAAGAAATAAATCAGCAAAAAAAAAAAAATTCTATCTACACATTTTATATGCTGATTATATATATAAAAGTAAAATTTTTGATTATTTTCTATGGTTTATTAAACCATATGCATACTTTCTATGAAATATGACCTATGTCAATTTGTAGAAGAATATATAAAAAATTTAAATGAAAGTATGTTGATTGACTTGAAAAAAAAAAAGTCCCCCTTTTTTTTTTAAGTTTCATCACGAAATGATTACGTTTATTTCGTATTGAATCTTTCATATATCAATATTTTGAGTAATAATAAACAGTTTATAAAAGGAAACTCTATAAAAAAAAAAAAGAAAATTGAATAGTTTATCGAGACAATTCTTATGTCATATATATATATGTGTAATCAATGAATATTAACAATGCATTATGTATTTTCATATGAAATAGTAACAATAGAATTTTCTCAAGAGAATATTTGTCATAAAAATGAATTTCCCTTGAAACTGATTTCATTAGCAAGATTTGTTTCTCTTCTATATAAATAATCATTTGATTCTCCGTATTATAATAAGAAGAAATTATTTTAAAATGAATTGTTTTCTTTTTGAATACAATATTCTATTCATAGATATTTTTTATATTATTATCAATATATTGTTATTTTTAATAATTTATCTTTTAAATAGTAAGTAGAAAATCGAAGAGCTCTTAGTTCGAAGTTTAGAAAAAAAAAAAAAATAAGCAAAAGAATTATTCGAATACAATAGTTTTTCTATATAGGAATTGATCTGTATGAAAAAATTTTTTCTTTTTGTAACCAAACTGATGTATTTTAGTAACAGAACAAAGATATTTGCATAATCAGAAGTGCTATTCACAAAACTTAACAAGTAGGTTTTTTTTAATACCTGAAAACGCTTTTTTCTCAAAAATTGTTCGAACAGATCGGCGAATCTTTTTTTCAACAGTTCTTTAGATACAAATTAGAACTGAACTGATCGACCTTTAATAGTGTGAGGTGATATACGTAGAAGAGAAACATTTTCTATTGATAGATTTCTGTCTTAGAAAAAGCTAGTGGGTTGTAGCCTATCGATCATGAGAAATCCCTTAAGTCTTCATATGCTCGTATCCAAATAGATCAAAAGCGATTTTTAATAGTCTAGAAAAACCAGTACCCAGATCGAAGATTTCGACCACCGGATCTAGAGGTTGACAAGCTCAGCTCAGTTCCGCTCAGAGGAACTATTCGAACAGCTCTTTTGAGCTGAACTGGTGAACTGGTTCGTTTGAGCTGTGTTCCCAAAATAGAACACTTTTGTTCTGTTTTTGGGAAATAATTCCCAAAAACAGAACAAAAGTGTTCTATTTTGGGAACACAGCTCAAAAGAGCTGTTCGAACAGTTCCTCTGAGCGGAACTGAGCTGAACTTGTCGACCCCTAACCGGATCTCGCAGAAAAATTCACCGTATCCTGCGGAAAAACACCGGAATACTGCCACTCTATTCCGGCAATTTCCGTTGTTTTTCCTGTCGGAACCCGTCCGTACTTTTCGACCTGAATATGTGAAGATCTAATGAGGCAAATCTTTGTAATTCACTTTTCTTTTTTTGTATTCTTTAACTGAACAGCCATGAGATCGAATATAATACAGCTGTTACCACAATTTCTGTAGAATTAAAATGTAAAATACTATGTAGCTGTTGTAATGAATCAGAGTGAGATTATTTTATTTTGTGCATTTCAAAGCATATTTCCTCATGATTCTTAGGTTTAATTCTCTAAAAATATAATAAGAAAATAGTTAATCTATTGTAATATATATATAACCTGTGCGGATCTTTAGAGAAAGATAATCTAACTATCTACTCTTCTCGATCATATTTCATAAAAAGTATATATTAAAAAATGAGCTCGAACTATTTTCAAAATCTTCATAGTACATTTAGTTTTACATAAATACACATATTCTTAATTCAAAAGGAATATTTTTCTTATAATCATATTCGATTTCTTTTAATAATACTAAATTATCTTATTATTTATATATATATTTTTTTCTTTTAGGAATGTATTATAAAGCTTTTGGTAGTTCAGCAACACTTAATCTAACCGAACAGTATAATTGTGAATGGTTACAAGAAAAATCAAATTCAACAATAAATGAAAAATCATATGAAAATGATATTAATCATGTACGTATTGTACATCAAAGTCAAATAATAGGTGATAATGAAGATGAATTTTATTATTCACCACAAATACTTCATCAATGTCATTCATGTCCAAATTTAAATATAAAACCATTAAATATTATTTTACGTGAACGTTCATATTCATTAACAACACTTGATGCATATACACATTTAAATATAACACATGATTTATTAGAACAAATTTGGCATTCATTACTTAATGTTACATTTAGTGATAAAGATGATAATGAATTAAATGAATATAAATTACGACATATTATTGGTTTATCAAATTCATATACAAATATAAATCATACATTAATTGAAAAATCTCATAGTCATAATGATATATTTTCATTAATAAATAAAACAAATGAAAAATCAATAATAAAATCAAAATCAAAATCATTTGATATAACATCATTAATTAAAAAATCATCATCATTATCATCAATAAATAATTCTGTTAATATTGGTCTATTACAAGGTGCTGATATATCAGAACCATTTGCTGATCGTTTAATATCAATATCAATACAATCAGATCTTGAAAGTATACATTCATTAGAACATGAACATATATTAAATGAAAATTCTATTCAATCATCAACAATACAAAAAGAACCATTAAATTATATTTTTAATTTAACAAATCAAATTGATAATAATGATGAATATGATATAGAACCAACAATTGAAAATGATAATAAACCAATAAATATATCTGTTACATTTGAAGATAATAATAATAATGATGATGATGATAATGAAGAAGAAAATATTCTACCTATTATACAAATACATGATACATATACAGAATTATCATTATTTCGTCCACATTCATTATCAACAATACCAAGTTCAAGAGCAAGTCAATATGCATCAAGTGTTGATAGTGATGATATATTTGAACATGAACGTCAATTAAATAAAGAGAATTCAGATGATAATTATCAATATCATGTTAGTGATGATGATCATGGTGTTATTGGATCAGAATTTTCATCACCACAATCAAGACCACTTTCATCAATCAAAAGTCAACCATTATCACCAGAACAAAATCAAGTAAATATCAATAATATTTTCTTATTATTTCGAAGATTCAGCAAAAAATTTTAAGCATTAGTTTTGTACTCTTTTTTTTTTCGATATATATATATATATAGGGCGATACAAAAGTCACAGCGTAGTTTTTGATTGTGTATAATTTTTCTCCTTCTGACAGTGAACTCATCCTATATGTTCACAATTTTAGCTAGACTCTTAAGTTACGAATAATGCATGAATCTGTCAAGAGGTTGAAGTTAAAATCTCCACAGAAGCAATTGACCTAGTACCTATCAGTTCCAAGACTTTCAAACTTAGACCAATTGAACGGACTTTACTACATCACCTTCCGAAATCTCTTAGATTTTTACCTTGATAATATGTGTGGATGAAGCGAGTTGAGAGTCAAAAGTCTTGCAATGAAGAAGCTTTAAAAATGTCTATGTCTCTTTTACTAAGAATCTTATTGATAGAAACGTCATAAGCAAATAATGATTAGAACATTATTTTGTTTAGCAATGTTTGCTCTGAAAGAGGATAACAACAGATACTTTAGTCTTGAAATTCATTGAAGTCTTATTTTGAATTTTCTCGTTTAATATTTTTTCCTACAAACGTAGCTCATAAACTGGATTCCGATTCGTCCTATAATTCCTATTTTTTTTTGAAACATCCTATATTTTGTCAAAAAAAGTGTAAAAATTTTACGAGATTTGCCTTTGCTCTGAGGGGGAGTACGGGGATTTTCGCGCCCCCCCTCCCCACCGGTGATTAATTTTTTACGAAAAAACCACGTAATATGAATAGCTGTTTCTTGCAAGTAAAGCATATACATTTGAGGTGCGGTTCGACGTACAATACTTCCATTTTTTAGTGAAAATAATCGTATAATTCAGAAAACGAAATCCTATATAGGAATTCCTATAATTTTGAAAATTTGTAATCGAAGATCAGTTCATAAGGCGCATGATTACAAAGATTTATCCTTCATGCATCAGATGTAGAATACAAAAACTGAATTTTCTTGAATCAGATTACTTTATGAAAGTTTATCAATAAGCACTGATCTATCAAATGAGATTTCTTGTTCAAGTTCAAACAACATCCTAGTCTGAATAGAAAAATCTATATTAACATTCTAGCTTCTCCTAATGAAGACTGATCAAGTCTTGATTTATCCTTTGCATTCAGAGTTTAACGCCCTTTATTTGCCATCAAAATATAAGATCAAAGAATTTACGTTCAGATACGTTTTACTTCGTTGTAGAACTTTCAATGACTACAGTATTTATTTCATAGTTTCTGTCATTGTTTTATTAATCAAATTTGAATGAAAAATATCCAATAAGAAAATAATAATTATGTAATGTTTGAGATGATAAATATTTAATTTTATATAATTCATTTTTTAGGGACTTAAATCTGTAAATTTTTCTGATATTGATCATGATGCATGGGAACGATGTATAGATGAACCTATATTTTATGATGATCTTTGTCTTGATTATAAAAAAGAAGAAGAATTATTATCTATAAATCAATATACAAATAATTTAATAACTATTATACCAATTGAATCATTAAATTCTAAAGAAACTTATACCATAGATCAAATTGAACCAATTTTATTATTAAATGAATATAAACAAGAAAATATTGATTCAATGAATTTTATTCAACAAATTGATCAAAATAAAAAACATAATACTATTGAACAAGATTATTTATTAATTGAACAACAATTTGATAATTATCTTGATCCAAATGAACTTGTTCATCGTTTAGAACAATTAGATTTATCAAAACAACAAGAAATAATAATTAATCATGAAATTATTAATAATCATGATGAAAATTTAAAATTTAATATTGAAAATTTAACATCTATAATCGATGATATTCATCAAATAAATCATAAAAATTTAATAACAATGAAAAAATTTCTTTTACAACAACCATTAAATATTGAACAAAAACAAAATCCATTAACAATAACAAAATCACCAAATAATTTACCAATACGTTATCATAATCAATGTATTGATAAAGTATCAGATTTAGAAATTGTTAAACAAGGTAAAGGTTTTAAAATTGGTTATATTGATCGACAAGGTACAGATCAACGTGTTATATTAACAAAACGAATTGAAGCTGGACCAGATATTATTGAACGTGATCCACATATTCGTTTACCTCATAAAAAACGTCGAATATTAAATCAAAATTTTAGTTCAGTATTATATACAAATGGAAATAATACTATACAAGAAGATAAAAATTTTCAACGTTCAGCAAATAATATTGAAGTACCAACAATTGGTACTAATCCAAAACATTTCGACGAGGTTTGTTTTAAAAAAAAAGAATAAAAAATTATTTCAAACTCATAAACATTGATTAGAAGGATATAAATATTTTACGAAACACGATCTAAAACAAATGTTAAAAGTATACAGGATAGAAATTTACATTCAGCTTCCCTTTACAAACGATGATGGGTTGAATCTACATACCATCGTAGTCTCGAGTACTACAAATTATGATAGATATTGTTGATTTATGATCAAAGATGGTAATCAATAATGTCTCGTTATTATATATTAACTACTTCCTTATTGGATTTCTCGGAGGATTAAGTAAAAAGATGGTGAATAGTGGCGAAACCAGGATTTTAACGGTGGAGGGGCTCAGCCCCACCTGGCCACCCTCTGGTTACGCCACTAATGGTGAAGGCCTCCGCCCCCTCAAAAAAAGTCACTTTTCCTTAGAATCATCGATATTGAGATAAATACATAGAAAGATAGCCCGTGATCTGATCTTTCATAAATGATAAAATTTTTTTATTGACATCTCGTTTTTTCCAAAAATTTTTGAAGATTTCCGTCATTCCCTATTCGAAAAAAAACGAAAATTTTTTTCGTTTTTTTCTTAGTTTATGCTTTCGTGAACGCGCAAGCAAGAATTTTTTGTCCAGACTCTTTCAATATATTTATATTTTTTTTTGTTTGAAAGAGCATGTCAAGATGCAGCGCCTACCAGAGTCCTTTTTTTAAATTAAGCTTGATTTTTATTATATATACAGTCACTTATGTAAATTGGCGCCCATTTTTAACGGGTTTTTTGAGTCATTGAACTTGTGATCTCTCTTCTCCGCTTAAAAGGTAAGAATTAAAAAGAAAGGACTCTGGCAGGCATTGCATCTTGAGATGCTCTTTCAAACAAAAAAAAACAATTTTAATATATTGAAAGAGTCCGAGCTATTTTCGACCCTTGTTTGGTGTATATCTCTGTCAAACGTCATGATATCGAGCTGAAAATTTTACCATAGCCTCTTCACTATAGCCCCAACATATCCTGAAAATTTCATGCCATTTGAACGTACCTGGGCTGAGATCAGTTTTTGAGCGGGGACGCCTGAAAGAATAAAACAATCCTTCTTTGATTAGCAATCATAGAAATAAAGAAAGAATACCTTTGCTTTTCAATTACCTTGGTGTGTGTAGTGCTGGCTAATGACAGATTCAATAGCTTGATATCTTTCCTATAATTATAACGAGCTATACCTCTGAGAGAGAGTCGGCGCATGGTGCAGAATTTTTGCGTTCCTTATCTAACTACCAGAGTAAGGGTATTCATTAGAATTTGTGAAGTTATTGCGAAGAGTAAACAACTGAAACTTTAGCCTTGAAGTCTGATGAAATCTTTGAAGTCCGCTGTTTCTCCGTCGAATTATTGAAACAAAACATATTCAAAATATTTAACTGATTCTCTCGAATTTCGAAAGAATATTATTTTGTATTTTATTTAAAGTAAACTTCTTGATATTTACAATCATAAAAAAGAACTTTTCAAATTCATTTAATAGAATTATGAAAAAAGTATTTCAATTTAAAATCTTGCATAACATTATTAAACATATAAGTCAATATATTTTTAACGATCAAAAAATAATATTTAATCTGAAATAATATATTTTCATTTGTTTATTTTCTAGTCGGATATGATCTCTATTGATATAGATGGTCCATCAACAATGCTTAGTTCAATATGTGAATCTTTAGTTATAACACAAGGTTCAGTTTATTCAAATAATCTAACAAAATCACAAAATGAAAAATTAAAAAGTCAATCTATATCTGATTTATCAACAAGTCCTTGTTCAAATGAATATGAAGAATATTCATTTCAAACATCACATTCTTTAAAAAATGATAAAATTGAAGTAACTAATTCTTGGCATGATCATACAATTATTAATGGTAGTAGTACATCATGGCGTAGTCCATTTAAACCAATAAAACATATTCAATCATCAATAAATAATTCATCATTTCAATCTATTGAACATAATACTCAGGATTTAAATCGACAACAAATATCTACACGTGATATATCTTTATCACCTATTATATTACCATTAGAAAAACATTATCAAACAATAAGTACATCACCAATAACAATACCTGAAACTGTTGATCAATCATGTCAATATAGTCCACCATTATATATAACACATGATCAAAATTTACAATGTTATTTTGATACAAAAACAAATTCTACACAAGTATCATCATATGATATACCCGGTTTATTAAAAACATATGATGGAATTCAAACATCAGATAATTTTCATTATCGAACAATATCATTACATCCAACAACACTTGAACGTAGTTCTGATTCTGGTATACTTATTGATGATAATCATCGTATAAAATTAAATTTAGGTTTACAAGTTGATATAAAAAGTTCATCATCAGATAGTGAAGATATATCAGAAGTAACAACACGTCCACTTCTAAGACAAACACCATTAAATACAAATATAATATATGAAAATCCAACAATAATACATACATCTTTAAAAACAACAAATGATATTGAACAAGAAATTTTACAATTACGTCGTGAACGATCTCATATACTTGATTTACTTTCATTAAATTGGAATCGTTCAAATATATGGGTAGAATTAACCGAAGCTAAATTAAATTATATTATTGGTGAAACAGGTAAATCAATTTTTTTTTTGTTTTTTTAATTTAATTTAATTTATAGATGCTCTTCTACGTTCACTATCATATGATTCAACATCTATTGATAATGAAACTGTTAAATTAAAAATGCATCAATATGAAGTTGATATGACTGAATTAACACGTCAACATTTAGCTGTCTATCGTGAACGTTTAGAAGATTCAAAAAAACAATTAGATATTAAAATAGATGAATTAGAATTAAAAAAATCTTCTATTGAAAATCATTCAACAAATCATTTATCAACATATGAATATACACCACGTCCATTAAATCATAATAATAATAATAATAATAATACGAAACGATTAAAATCATTTTTAAGTACAAGTGCTGAAAATTTAACTCTTACACCAATACAAGATACAATAGCAAGTCATCCACATTTACTTGATGTTTCATTTTTAACATCAACTCCATTAAAAAAATCTAATCATCAAACATATTTTTCAAATTATCAAGATAAAAATAATGAAACTATTCGAACAACAACAACAACAACACATTGTCCTATATCAACAATAAATCATCAATATGATTATTCAACAAGAATAAATAATCAAAATAATGGAAATTTATCAAATATGGAAGGTTTAAGTAAAAGTCAACAAGCTATTTTAGATGAAACTGATAAACTTGTTAAAGATTCACAACAATTACATACGGAATCAGCTTCACAATTTGAACGAGCAAGAGAAAGTTTATTATATAGGTAATTATCATGTTAAAAGATTTTACTTTTCATCTGCGAAATAAATAGTAAAGGCACGTATAAGTATACTTTTCTAGGACAATGGAATTGTATCATCTTGAGACGAATAATTTGATACTAATAATTTCAAAAAGTTTCGAATAAAAAAAAAAACGCCGGCACATAAGACTACAAATCTAATTAGTTTATTAAAATTTTGTCGAATTCTATGCTTACGAGGGAATCGCCCGAAATGATTTACCGCTTTTGATCTCATATTTTGGGCATATAGAGAGAACCCCTAGACTAGAATAATCCTAAAAGGATTCGAGCCTATAAGCCCTCACTACAAAGTTATAGCGATATTAATTTAATTTTAGCTCAAGGCACGGTATGCACAAAAAAAGAGACTGATGATATTTCGATCTAAAATTTTGTCTATAGATAGGTCTACTCGTAACTAGAATGTCCTGAAAACTTCAGTTCAAAAGAATGTTGCCTTCATGAGATGTTGAGATTCTTGCATCTTTTATGAGATCTGAATGATTTTAGAAAATTCAATATCACGCGAATGAAACATTTTTTTTTTGAGCTGAAATTTACAGAGCATTCTAGTTACGAGTAGACCTATCTGTAGACAAAATTCTAGATTGAAATATTATCAGTCTCTTTTTTTTGTGCATACCATGCCCTAGACTAAAATTAAATTAATATTGCTATAACTCTATAGTGAAGACCTATGGGCCTGAATCCTTTTTGGATTATTCTAATCTAGGGGTTCCATCCATATGCCTAAAATATGAGCACAAAAGCGGTGAATCACTTCGGGTGGTTCCCTCGTTAGTTGTTTGTTAGTAATTTCAGATTTATTGAATAATGTCTAAAGTAATAAAGATCAGAAATACGAATGTTAATTCTTCATTGTTAACATAACTTTTTCTAATCAAAGGGCTATTCAAATGAGTAATATTTGAATTTTTTAAATTCGTAAAAGATAAGAATGAATGATATATATATAAAGTAAAAAGATTAATAACGTCAACCAGTACGTCGAATTTATATCTCATTAAATGAAACAGCCAATTTGCGATTCATATATATAGAATTAAAGTCCCATCAAATAACTGTCAAATTTATAATTTCAATGGTATTTTGTCTTGTCTGCTTATACTCAAACGAAATCCACTATAATAGGATGGATTATTAGAATAACGACGAAAATCCAGTACTTGTTCATAGCTTTTATGTTTGAAAATTTGTTCTAAATATGTTCTGTCAATTGATATAATAGAGTTAACCAAGAAACGTATTAGTCATACTACGTAGTAGATATGAGATTAGTTCGCATTAGTTTTTTTTTTCCGAATCAAATCAATCCAATCAGTGATATGTATTGCAAGCGAAGGTGTAACGATCTTCTTTTACATTCCCGCACACCACCACTAGCGTGGAAATGTTTCTCGGAAGATCGAACTGATCCTTCCGGAGTTTGTTTTTTTTTTATGCTTCTCGAAAAATAGATGTTCGTCCTTCCGGAAGAAAAAATTAAGGATACGACGTCATTACAAAATTAAATTGTATGTTGATGATTGAAAATTAAAAATAAGTATTTTGTATTATCCTGTTTGATCTACCCTCTGGGCAGGATACGATAACAAAAAGAAAAAAAAAACACACAAGTCTTATGTTCAACATGAATCTATAGAATATTTATAAATCAATTCGATCTTTCTATAAGAAGATATACTTCCAATTGTACTTATTGAATAATGATTATTTTTTTTATTTTTTTACTAAATATTCTTTGATTAATAAATTTATGAATATTCAGATCGAAGAAAAAAGAAAAAAACTTCTTTCTTCGTATGATCATACAACCAGAAAATATATTAAAAGCTATACTTATATTTATTTCAAGAATTTCAATGCATTCATCCATATTATGATCATCGATACATAAATAATATATATATATATTTCTCCATATTTTAGTTCATAATTTTTTTTTCCTCTGTGTGTATGTAAAAAAAAATATATATATATATATCAGGTAAATTAATAATAACGTAATTTATTTGCATGATGCTCGCTCGCTAGCATGATATATAATTTTTGAAATAAACCGGAAATAACAAAATAAAATATTTTTTTATTGTTAGAATAAAAATAAATAAATAAATAAATAAACAAATATTAAATTTAATTAATAATTAAAAATATTTCTTTTCTTTTTTCTCTATTTATTTAGTGAAACACCTATTCGATTAGCACGAGCAAATATGGCTGCATCTCGTCTTTCACCACGTTTAGAAAAGAAAACTTATATGTCAAATAATGTAACACTTGCTGAATTATTTAAATATGAACAGTCATTAACAAAAGAAGCAGAAAAAAATAATCGAAATATTTATTCCAATACAAAAACAACTAGTGAATCTTAATTTCTTTTTTTGTTTGTTTGTTTGTTTGTTTGTTTGTTTTTTTATATCCCATATACCGTCCATTGAACGATATCTTATAAAACAAAAGAAAAAAAAAGTCACCGATGGTGTATATTGGTGCTATTCTATCTTTAGTAAATGTGAAGTTTGTGTAGTTTTTTTTTTGCTATCATTCTTGTTGTTATACGACATGCGTTCTTTTTTTTGCCTGTGTGTGTGTGTGTGTGTTGGTTCTTATTTTTGAAATTTGTATAAAGAAATTTAAAAACATTGAATAAATATACGAAGAGTTATAAATATAAATTGTATTTAATCTTAAGAATAATACAAAAAAACAACAACAAAAAGACACAATTGTTTTACTGATATATTTTAAGAACAAGATTTTAGAATAATACACTCTTGAATATAAATGTTTGATCTTTTTTTTTTCAAGAAAAAAGAAATATATGTCAAAACTTTTTTACGTTTTATATGTGCTCATTCGGTCATTACATGTATCTATTTTGGGTTTGACTGATGATATGTCATATGTGTTAATTCATGTTAATACACTATGCCTTTTTCTTCTAGTCGGTCTTTTTTTTTTTTTCTTTCGCTAATTTTTCTTGCCATAATTGTAATAGAGTTCTTCCATCCCTAAGGTGAAAAGAGAGAAGAAGAAGAAGAAGAAAATGATGATGATGATGATGAAAGAGCAGTAGCTGCCGAACAATGCCGGTAGTCGTCGTTACTATTACTATTACAGTAACAAGAAGGATGTTGATGAGCACAAAAATAAATCTTCTTTTATTCTGCTTTTTTTTCTCACTTTCTCTTGAAAAATCCTTTTCGCATGATCATCACTATTATTAGGCAAATCTTGTCTGTACGTCGTCATCGTCACCGTGCAAACAGAAGAAATATAATATTCTTAGAATGCAGTGTTGCTATATCACCTTCTCATCCTCCCACTTGTTTATCTAGTGCTTACTGATCGTCAGTGAAATGTGAGTATTTTTTCATAGACATGAAGATCTTTGTTTGTAATATATTTATTTCATTTCTTTTTTTTTTTTAAACAGAAACGAACATATCTGGTTTATAATTGATGTAGATTAAGAAAAAAAATGCCTGGTCGAAAAATTCGATTGACATCTGGTTCATCACTTATTATTATTGGTACTTCATTAACAAATCTATCATCTAAAACAATCAAAGGTATTGATATACATTATGATCATAAGAAATGTTTAACAATAAAAAAATAAAAGTTCAGTTCAATCTTATAGTTCAAATAGTCTTAAGAAGTTGTCATCAGGTTGAATTATTATAGATTTTTTGTTTTTCTTCTGACAACAATATTTATACTAGAAGAATTAAAAAGCACAAAAGAAAGAATAAAAAAAAAAAAAAAAGATTCTCTTTTTAAAGATCTCCTTATTAACAAAAACTTATATTAATCCTATATATTTGTTTTAAAAACATTCAAAAGATAGTAATTATTAAAATCCATTTATTCAATACATACATATGTAATATAATGAATCAACATGTGTTTCTTGTTTTTTTTTTCTCTATTACAAATTATTATTTTTATTATGAAAAAATGTAAATAAAATAAAACATAATTTCAAAAGAATATGTTATCGAAAACGAGAGAGAGAGGAAAAAAAACAAAAATCTTTCATATGTAATAGGAATATTGTTTTTGACATCTTCAATATTTTGAATATTGTTTAAAAAGTTCATTTATTATTGGTAGTTATTTATAAAGCAGAAAAAAAAGAGACCTTGCAGCATAAGCTTGATCCATTAGTAATTATATTAGAAACTATATATACTACGATAGAGTTTAGTTTAAATTCTATTAGCAAATAATAATCTACATGTTGTTGAACAAACCAAAAATGGATAAACAAAAAAAAAAAAAACAATAAATAGTAATAATATTTACGTAGACAAAAAAAAAAGTAGTCATTTGCAAATATAATTAACAATAGATTTTATTAAAAGAAAAAGAAATATTTTCAAATTTTTTGTTTTTTTTGTTTTCTGAATATGAATTAGCAAAATAAATTTATATTCATTTGAGAATTAGTTTAAAGAAACAGGAAAAGAAAAATATATGATTGAGTAAATAGTAAATCAGATCATCGGAAATCGCTAAAAAAAATAATATTCATTTCGAAAGAAACATAGAAAAAAAAAATGAGTGTTGTCCTATACTGTCTCATTTTTTTTTTTGTATCAGACGAAGCAGCTATGACAATCATGATTATACAATGAAAAAAATATTCATGTCACGTAAAAGTAGGAGGTGTAGTCCCTATTCATTAATTCAAGAAAAATCATTTGAAATTTTCTACTATGAATATGAGATACATTCTCTTATTCTTCAACTAATCTTGAGAATTTTGTATGAAACTTAAATATACACTTTCGTTTTCATGAAGAAAAAAAAATCAACTTGCTAGTATATTCAAACATCTTGTCATCCATTAGATAAACAGATTTATTTCATTACAAAACATATTATGTCAAAATTAAACAAAAATTTATCTGAGATGAAACTTCATCGAAGTAAGTCCTTGTAGAGATTTTTAATTAATGAAATTGTGAATAAAGCTTCGATGATTTGATTCGTTTTTCTATATTTAATTTTATCTTTAATGTTTTCTTTTAGTATCTGATACATCCAAAACAAAATCACATAATCATCATCATCATCATCATCCGTCAAGATCACCTAAAGCATCATCAACAACAGTTATACATAATGATCATGGTTAGTTTTCTTTATTCTTTCTAATATAAACAAAACTATCTAGGGCAAATAAGTTTTGTTCAGACTCATAACTATTTTAGACTAAAATAGATTTGTCTGTCCAAAAAAAAAAATGTGATGAATATTCATTGGTATTTATCTGTCGACGATAGAGTATAATTTTTCGACTGATGACATTCATGGCAATTGAAAGAAGTCTATAGTATGTTATTATATATATATTTATATATATATAGCAACATAGAAAAGTGTTCTGTCTTTCTCTGTTTCTTTTTTTTTTGTTGAAGATAGAAATGCAAACAGGGATTGTCTGCAATGTCAGTTGTTTTCCTCTCTCGACATCCATTAGTTACTACCATAAAAAAGCTTGATTGAAGATATAACTGAAGAAAAAAAAAATAAAATTATTTCAATTAACATTAGCTTCAGTTCTTTTTCTTTTTTGGAGTTCAAGATAATTAAATTATTCTTCTATTATTGTTTTTTCTTCTTTGCTATCAAAAAAAAAAACTAAAAATAATGTTCTTATCAGAAAATTTATCACCAATCTTTTCCAATAAATCAAAATCAAGTGGCGGTGGTGATGATCATCGTCGAAGTAGTCGTAATGATTATGGTCATACAAATACTCCATATGATCTTATTGAACATGATGTAAGTGGTTTAAATAAAATTGCTAATTTACCAAAACCAGATTCATTCGATGCATTACAAATTGGTAATGATAGGTAAAAGAAAACAAAAAAAAAAAAATTTATTTTTTAATTAAAATTATGAAAATAATTATTTTTATTATGATAGATTACGAACAATAATTGCTGCTCTTCATTGTAATATACTTGTACGTAAAGAAGATCTTGTACGAAATTTGGATTATGTAGCCAATGTTCTTGAAGCTGTTCATCAAGATGAAACAAGGTAATGTATATGAATGAAAATAGTACTTATTCTGTTATAGAAAATTTTGAAGAATATTTTGCATAGTTGAGTATCCTATTTTATTATAAGTTATTTTATTTTCTCTTCTGAAGAATTTACATAAATACATCTCTATATATTCAATCATTCTAGCATACATTTTTTTTTTCATTGCCTAGAGGCAAACAATAATACTTTTGACACTCACTATCATCAATTTTATATCGATGTTGACATTAAAAAAAAAAATTGTATTGTCGATAATTGTCATATTAGTAATGAAATAGAAAAATGAGATTTTCTAGTTTAGGATAAGGTTTTTTTTTTCCTTTTTAAATAGTTCACAAAAAAAACGAATATAGATATATTAATATAATATTTATATTCAATATTCTAGACGATTGATGGAAGAAGACGATGGTGATTTATCAGAAATTGAGCCGGATTCAGTACCAAATGAAGTACGAGATTGGTTAGCAATGACATTCACTAGATCAATGTCAACTATAAAACGACGTCCATCAGACAAACCAAAATTCAAAAGTGTAGCACAAGCTATACGTGCTGGTATTATGGTTGATAGGTACGTATAATATATAATCATTTATTTTTGTTTATAATATGAGAGAAAAAAACACAAAAGAGAAAAAAAAAAGATTGATAAATGATCAACCATACATATATATATATATATATCATTGCTATAATTGATTTTTTTCTATCCTTCAGCTATCAGAAATAACCATTCCATTAATAACAGAAGATTCTTTCTGAAACAAAAAAAAAAAACGATAATTCTGACATAATCGAGGACGTTTTCTTAATTATTTCATTAATTAAAATATTTCATTAGAAATGGTGTTTCATTTAGCGTGAAGGTAATATTCCTTCGAGGATTAAAATTGGCCCTTGAGGAGTTGATGATGATTATTATAACACGCACGATATGTCCTATACTCATAAAAATAGACTTTTCTTTTATTTTGATCATTCGGAAATGAGACTCTAAACAAAACATTAATACATTTATTTCTTTTTCTTTTTCTTGTTTAATTAATGATATAAATTTAATAGAAAATTGTTCTAAAACATTTGTCGACTGATATCATCTATTCTATATAGGACAATGCGTAGGAAGATAGTATTATGAGAACATAAATGTTTTTTTTTACTCTAGATATAAATCATATGTTTATTCGTTTTTAATGATTTCTCTTTTTTTCTCTCTTATCTTTTTCTTCTAATAAATTATCCTTTTATCAGGGTTATTAAAGATTGGTTTCGACAAGGTAAATTAAAGGTATGATAATCATCA